AATTAATCCCAATTTGAATGAATGGAAATTTAAGAACCCGGGGACTGGCATTGCACTGCAGCAGATTTAGCCGTTGCTTGTGAGTTCACATCCGGCATCAGAGGTCTGTTTCCAATCCTGGCTGCTCCAGTTCCAGTAGTTCCCATCAAGCTCCCTTGCTAGCTCACCTACTTATGCACTTCCTGGCTGAAGCCTGGCCCAGCCATCTCTGTTGCAGCCATTTGGGGAGTGGACCAGTGGATGGAAGATGTTTCTCTCTCACTCTTTCAAATGAGTGTATGCTTATCATTGTACTTCGAGGAAAAGCAGTGGAATTTACTGAGTGGATGAATGCAGTGAGTGTGCACTTATGAAGAGATATGCTTGGTGAATGGAATCTTCTCTAATCTTCATAGATTTTGATCATTTCTATTGCAAAGTTATGTTTTGTTGGTTTGAATATTAGAAGCATGTGGAACACATCCTTTTGAAGATAATAAACACATTCTAATAAAATGCTCTGCTTACTGACATTATTTATTATTATAATTTAAGCAGCATTTAATTTTTAAAAAATGTCATCAGAAATACTTTAGTATGAGCCTTTGGCTAACTTAGAAAAGTTAATCTAGACTGTGTGAAGTTCAAAGTTTTTGATGACTGTCTCATTTAATGTGTGAAGTAACAGGTTTTCATTGACTAAAATTCATCTTAGATGAACTGGTGAATAATGAGGAGAAGAAAAATAAAATAGAACAGGAATACATAGGAATTTATTGGTTTCTCACAAACGAAACCTCCTCCCCACCAAAAGAAATGAAATGTAAGGGAATGGAGGAATATATGAGTGCAGGTGTCTTAATGTGCTCTAGCTGCTGTAACACAATACTGGAGACGGAGTGACTTGGCAACAGCGGGGAGTTGTCTCTTAGAGCTCCAGGGAGTGGGAAGACCAAGGTCAAGCGGCTGACAGATTTGGTGCCAGTGAGGGCTTACGTGGCAGGAGAGAGATAACTAGTCCTTGAACCTTTTCATCTCATTTTTTGGGTCCCTGACCTCATGACTTCCTGATGGCCCTGCTCTTAACACAGCTTCTTGGGGGTGAGGATTTCGACACAGGCATCTCAAAAGGAGGGAGCAAGAGTTTTTCAGATCATAGCAGGAGCATCTGCAAGAAAGCAGCAATGACATGTGTAAAACATGAATTAGTACACTAATGGGATTGCCTGCTCAAAGAAAATTCTATTAATTGAATTTCAAAGAACAGAGGCAATTTTGAAATTTTACAAAGGAAGCAAAAATTAAGCTGGGCCCAACGGCGGATAGTAAGTGCAAGAAAATCATGTTTTGTCTGTCTGTTTTCTAGTCTGTGCAATCCATTGTGACAAACTTGGTTGGAAGCAGCAAAAAAAAAAAAAAAAAAAAAAAGTCCAGGAGCGCCCTGTGCTGTGTTCCTTCCTGGAGCTTGGAACCTCTCCAGGGCTTTGGTGTCTTGGCAGAATTCAGTGTCTTGCGTTGTATGGCTGAGGTCTCTGTGTTCTTGCTGGTTGTCAGCTAGAGGCCGCCTACATTCCTGGCCCCGTGGCCCCATCATGGTTCCTCATGAAGCACAGCAGTTTCCTTCCTTAAGGCCAGCTGAAGAATCTTGCAGTGTTTCTACTGTTTAGAATGTGTTTATGTATTTATCCACTTGAAAAGCAGAGCTATGGTGAGAGGGAGAAACAGAGTTGGGGCTGGGGGTGGGGAAATACAGAATTTCTGTCTGCTGGTTCACTCAACAGATGGCTGCAATCAGGAGCCTAGAACTCCATTCAGTCTCCCATGTGAGTAGCAGCCCCCAACTACTTGGGCCATTTTCCACTGCCTTCCCAGGTACATTGGCACAGAGCTGGAGTGGAGACAGAGGAGCCAGGGCTTAAAAATGGTGCTCATATGGGATGCCAGTACCAAGCAGTGGCTTGATCTGTTAAACCACAATGCCTCTCCCATTCCACCCTGTTAAAGAATTCATTTGATTGGGTCTGGTATGATGGCTCAGTGGCTGAAATTCTTGTCTTACACACCCTGGGATCCCATAGGGGTGTTGGTTTGTGTACTGGCTGCTCTATTTTCTATCCAGCTCCCTGCCTGAGGCCTGGGAAAGCAATCAAAGACAGCCCAAAGCCTTGGGACCTTGACCCACATGGGAGACTCAGAAGAAGCTCCTGGCTCCTGCCTGCTGTTATGAATAGTGCTGCCATGGCCATGGAAGTGTGAGGGTCGCCTGACTGTAATTTTCTTGTGCGGTTGCTTGATCAGTGGTGTGAAACACCTCTAAACTCTTTGCCACAGTGATTGCTCCATGTTCCATGTGCAAAGCACATTCCAGTTTCTCCACTTGTCATTTTTAAAAATAGCTATCCAGGCAGATGCGAGGTGATACTGTAGCGTAGTTTAATTTACACTTTTTTAATGATTTGTGGCAGTGAGCACCTTTTCATCTACCTAGTGGCCATCTTTGGTGAAATGTCTGATCAGGTCCTTTGGTCTTTCATTTTAGGCTTTTAATGGTCTTTCTTTCTTTTTTTCTTACCATTCAGTTGTAGAAATTGTAAGTATTCCTTTGATGATTGTTGTGTAAACATGTTTTAAAAATAATTTTTTTTTCTTACAAAGTGTTTTAAGAATGGGCCATAGGCATTAGATGCCAGGATAAGGAAAAATCACTTCCCTGTGTCTGGAGTTAGTGCTTGGGAACCAGCTGCATGTGGGTATTAAGGGAGCGGAAAGGAGCCTAGAGTGAGCTATAATTGGAGAAATTGCGTCATCACTTTGATGCATTGCACGAACCTCCTAACCAGTCTCTTGGCTGCTAGTCTTGCCCGTCTCCCATCTGCCTCTACTCAAAGTCAAGGTGATCTTTCCAAAAGCACACATCCAATCATGCTTAAAATACTTCTGCTGACGATTAGGCAAAAGGCCAGATCTCTCGCCTTCTGGCATAGGACTGCCAGGCCCTGAGCTTCAGTAGTGTGTGCAGCCTGTGCCCCCATTCATCTTCAATAGACACAGTGGAAGCAGGGGTTTGGGGGAGGATGGATAGGAGAGACACTGGCAGGTGGAATTCCTTTGGATGTGACAAGGATGAGTGTCCTAGTTTGTTTTGTCCTGTAGTAGCAGAGTACTAGAGACTGAATGAATTATAGAGTAGAGATTTACTTCTCCCAGTTGGAAAATCCAAGACTCGGCCACTGGCGTTTGGGTCTCCAAAATGGTTTATCCTTCATGATGTCATCTGACCATGGCCCAGGTCCCTTGAACAGCTGGCACATCTTGTTCTGACTTGTGAGTGAGGCTGTGGGACGACCTTCACTCCATCTCAGTAATGCTACATGTGCAGGTTTATTTGTTGCTTCCAGGAAGTCTTTTGTGGGTTGTGTATTGTCTTCCACCTGTGGCTACAGAGTGTGATATGCATTATTGAATTCTTTATTGACTTTTCAGATACCAAATGGGGTTGTTTAAAGCAACAGACATTTATCCTCCCATAGTTTAAGAGGCCAGAGTCTTGAAGTTGAGGTGTGGGCAGGGCCATGGTTTTTCTGAAGGCTCCGGGGAAGGCAACTTCCTTGCCCCTTTCACTCCTAAGGCTTACCAGTGGTCCTTGGCACTTCCTGTTGGTAAACACCTCACTGCCATCTCTGTCTCCACCTTCACGTGGCTGTCTTCTCTGCCTTCTCCTCTTATGAGGGCATAGGGATTGGATCAGGGCCCACCCCAACCTGGTATGACTTACATTTATTGATTATATTTCAAAATAAGGTCATGCAAAGGTACGGGCTATCAGGTCTTACTTGGAGATATATATCTCACTTGGGGATACAGTTCAATCCACAGCATGCATCAAGTTGCGATCAAAGATAAGAGATGTACATAGACTGTGCCCCATCTCTCCTGGGTCTCACCTGAGAAGTGACTTGCCCTAGTTTTGTTTATTCCCCACTGCCTCCAGAAGAACTCCAACAGAGGCTAGTAGATTTGGGGAACGGAAGGATGCATAGGTTTTTTTTGTGGACCTTGCCTCTCTCTCTCACTTCCTTACCCAGTCTGCTTTCTTTGACATCAGTGTGTGCTGGGGCAGGCATGAGGTGGGATGATCTCTCTGTGATGGCAAACATTTATTAGGGAATAGCACCAGGATCCTACAGAGCTTACTGAAGAAATGAACCTAGAAAGTTGCTCAAATCGATGAAAGAGAAGCATTTTATATATAATCTGTAAAGTTGTCCTATTTGGGTTAGATTCTTTGGCTCATCTAAATCCAAAGATGACCAAGTGGTGGTCAACAGACTGGCTCCGTTTTATCATTTATTTGTGTGTGTGTGTGTGTGTGTGTGTGTGTGTGTGTGTGTGTGTGTGTGTGAGATGCAATATGTAGGAATGGGAGCGAACATCTACCTATCTACTTTCCTTGAACAACTGAAAGCTCTGACGACACCTGTGCGCTAACATTTTTACAGAAAATCAGTGAAAAGGAAGAGTTGTCAAGACCATTGCCTGCTTGGCTGTGATCTCTGCTTTTTGCCTTGGAGCTACAATCCCTGAAGCCAATAGCTCCCTTCTCATGTGCCTACGTGACTTCAGCATGGTTTTCTTCATGTAGAGATTTTTTTTTCTCTTAACATTCTCCCCTCTACATTGCTTTGCCCTCTGTAGCATTCCTGTTTATGACCTCAAGTTTTGGTAAAATCTGAATTTGCCTGTGTAGGATCATAACCTGGTATGTTTGGTGAATTAAACATTATCCAAATGATTTCCAAACTGCATGACTCTGAGGTTGTCTCCTTCAACTGCCATGTGCTGCAGCAGTGATATAAGATGAATAGTTAACAATAATTGGAGTATGTGGATAAGTATTGCTAATGCTGAAGTCAGAGGAGTTGCATAAATTGGAGTGTAATTAGAGCAATGTCTATTGGCCCATTTTCAAGTATACCCTTCCTGAGCACACTGTATGTTTTCTATGATTTCTCCCTGTGTAGACCATTGGAACGATCCAGCGAAGATGTGGACATAATCTTCACACGGCTAAAAGAAGTTAAAGCTTTTGAGAAATTCCATCCAAACCTCCTTCATCAGATTTGTCTTTGTGGTTACTATGAGAACCTGGAAAAAGGAATAACATGTAAGAATTGCAACTGCAGTGATGTGTTTTCCTGTGGGGTTTGCTCTCTTGTGGCTGTCCGTCGGGGATAGGTGGCCAGAGGAAAATGTTTAAGCTTCAGCCAAAGGTATTCACTGGACATGTGGCTTCACGTAGGTGTTTTCTTCACTCCACTGTTCACGGAATATCAGTGGGGCAGCCCACCTTCCAGATGGAGCTGAAGAGATGCGCTGATTCACATCTTCTGCTCTGTCTTTCAGCATTCAAATCACTTTCCTATGAAATAAATAATCAGTAGACTTAAAGAGGAAATGCCTCCTAACTAATGCTGGTTATGTTTAAAATGAGTCTCCATAATCTTATAAATCCAAATGTGCGGAAGGGGCAAAGAGGGCAGAATGTTAGGATGACAGCTACATTTTTTTAATGGGATGCTTCTCCATCTCTTGGGATCTTCATGCTGCAGTGACAGAAAATCCTCATCCAAACTGCTTGAAGAAAAAAAAAAGTCACTCCTGTATAAGAAGGCCTGAGCTGAAATGACTTCAGAGTCAGTTGATATAGTGACTAAGTGAAATGATCAAGGTCCTTGTGCCTCCTGAAATGAAAAATACATATACATGTATTTCCTGAGGCATTAGCTTTGTCCCCAGCAGCTCTAAGACAGCCATAGCAGAGCAATTCATGCTCACACAAAAACGCTCTGTTGAGGGTGCATTCTTGCCATTCTTACATTTCCTTCTCCAAAGTCTTGTGGCTGACTTCTTGTATTACCTCATTGGGCAGAACAGCATCACATGCTCCTGCCTAAGCCAATCACTGACATGGAAAATTGGATCCTTATGGTTGGTCTCAACCAATCAGGGTCAGCCCAGTGAAGCTAGGGGAGGGACTCCCAGGCCTGAGTTCCTGGCTTTGCACATGAGGGGGACACTTGTATGATTTGGGTTCACCTAGAGGAACACAGAAGTCTTGGAGTGGGAAAGAAAGAGGTCTGCCACCCCACTCTTGTAGGAAATCTTGAAAAACAACAAAATAAAGCTTAGCTACAACCCCCTGGTGGAGAGATCATTGTTAACATTCTGTGTGGATCTTTCAAGATGTTTTCCCATGTGTATGCATACACAAACACAGTTACATGTCAATAAAATATCATACCTACCATTTTCTAGCCAACACATCTTTTTTCTTCCTGATATTAGAAGGAAAAAAAATCAGCCTCATTCTTTTGAGGCTAAGACTTCATTTTCTGCTTTCTAGGGCCATCTTTCAAAGAAAACATTTGCTGTTCTGTGATAATGTCTCTAAGGAGTTGATCATAGACAAAGTTCTCACTCTTAAAGTGAGTCCCTTACATAAGCTTGGAGCAGCAATGCTGGGTAGGCCAGCTGTAAGCTCCTCTGGTCCATCATGAGCACAGCATTGTGTGTGGTTCTTTGCCTTTCCCGGGCATGCTCCAGTAGAAGTGCTGAGCACTTGTCCTCATGAGCTGGGGCTCCCAGGAGCTTGTGCTGTTGCATGAACACCAGGTGCCAGAGTTCAGCTGGTTGTCCTCTGTCCTTTCATTGAGTCCCTTGACTTCTGACTCTAACTCTGCAAAGAATTTAAAACTAGTAGGTTATTCCCTTTGGTTATGGATCCTAATTGTTTACTTGAAAGGCAGAGTGACAGAAGGAGAGGGATAGAGTGATCTTTCATCCACTTGTTCGTTCTCCAAGTGTCCATAACAGCTGTGACTGAGCCCGGTGGAAGCCAGGAGCCAAGAAATCCACTCGAGTCTCACACGTGGGTGGCAGGGATCCAAGCACTTTGAGTAATGACTACTACCTTCCCTGACATTCTGATAATAGGATATGGGTGTCCTAAGTGGCTGCCTAACCTGCTGTATGCATCACATACTTAAAAGTACATCTAAAGCAATTGAAAAAAGGCCCATTTTCAAGGACAATTGCTTTTAATGAGATTTTAAGTTTCAGAATTATTCTCCACAGGCTGGCCTTCTTTTAGGTGTATTGATTTATTTGTTTATCTAAAAGGCAGAGCAACAGAGAGAAGAGGGTGGTTTCTCCTGCCTGCTGGCTCACCCCCCAAATGGCTGCAACAACCAGGTCAAAGCCAGGCCAAAAGTGGGAGCCCTAAACCCCACCCTGGTCCCCCACAGAGGTGGGAGAGGCCCAAACACGTGGGCTACTTTCTGTTTCCTCCCCAGAGTATTACAAGAAGCTCAATTGGAATCAGGGCAGCTGGACTTATATAACAATGTTCTGATATGGGATTCCGGCTTAGCAGGTGGACACTTCCCTTGCCGCACCACAGTGCTGGCCCCCAAAGTCTGGCCTTAAGTTATAGGAATTGGGTTCGACCTAAATATCTAAATATTTCCTTTCTTCACAAACTTAAGCAAAATTGAGTTCAGAAATTTCTGAAAGGATCATTTATAAATGCCTGAAAACAGTGAATGTATAAAGCAAACAAGAATGGACAATGATCATATGCAGTTAAAAAGTTTTAATAAAAAGAATATTTTTTACAAGCATTCATTGATTGACTTGGAAGGAGCCATGCTGTTTGGTAAAACGTGTTTCCCTTCCACACAGGTTTGAAGCATTTGAGATGTGGTCTGGTGTTCTGTTGAGTGAGATAACCTTGTTGAGGTGTAGTCAGTCTCGAATAATAATTTCCCAAGAATCACAATGCCATGAAGTGTGCTTAAAATAAATTACACAGAACATCAGTCAATTCTTCTTAAATTCAAAGGCTCCTATGGCATTCAGGATTATCATTTAAGTGAAAATACGAAAATATGTACAGCTCTGTAAATACAACAGATTTCTGTTTAATAGAATTCCACTTCACTGCATGTTGAATTAAATAGGATGCAGTTTTGTTGATAGATGAGGGAACGGTAAACATGAAATATTCTTGAGGGAATAGATGGGGGTGGGTGGTGAGCTCAGCAGAGAGCAAGTCATGTTTATAACAACCAGTGGAAAAACTACCAAGTCATACAGTGGAACAAAGTTATGGTTGAAACATTTACATTGCTGTTTGTTTTCCAGTGTTTCGCCAGGGTGATATTGGAACAAATTGGTATGCTGTCTTGACAGGGTCTTTGGATGTCAAAGTGTCTGAGACCAGCAGTCACCAGGTAATCTATTTTAAGTAAGAGTTACTAAGAGAAATGCTTTATCCTCATGTGTTTTGTACCATGAAAATGACAGTTTCGGGTCAACTTCTTCCCCATAATGAGCTCAGTGGTGTTCGCTAAAGTCATTTATTAGGTTACTCAACAAATCTATGTGCTGAGTGTCTTTTCTGATTTGAGAATGGGATTGCATGGGAGAAAAAGAACTACAAGAAGATACTACAGTCCAGGATTGTGTGTAAGATGATGTTTCTGACCCCAGTTCATGGTGTGAAAGAGACTTAGAACGTACATCTAAATTTGGGATTTAAATTGTGTGGGGACCTGTGTGAAAGATGCTAAGTTGACTGTTGCAGGTGGCTGAGCTTCGTCCTGTGCCAAGGTACCTGAAAGAGGGAGAGGATATGCCAGCTCTGCCTGCTCTGGCCTTGCAGCTAGTGGGCAAACCATGGTGACTCTGCTTCTCAAGTGAGCAGAGGAAATGGCAGGTAGAGACTGGGGACAGGGAGGAAGGAAAGGGTTGTGAGGAGCTGGAAGTTCAACACCTGTGGGGCGGGCATCCAGTGGACTGGACCGGCTGGAGTATGAAGGCTGGGAGATGAGGCAGATTTTCCATCTGTGCAAGCCATCTTCATGGCATCTCAGGGAAACTTGTTAGGTTTTAGGCCTTCAGCAAGGAGGAGTCTACCTTATGCAAAGTGTGTTCATTGTAACATCTAAAAAAGATCTTCACAGTAACATTTAGTTTTGCATTTGGTTGAGCCAGAGTCTGACCCACCACGTACCTAATGGACAGTGCAGGGATGGGGTTGTAGGCTTAAGGTGACGAGCGAGGAAGCATCCGGAAGCCTTTCCTCCAGAGACCAGAAATGGTCATGGCTGTTTGCCTCGGGTCACACTGTGCTCCGGCCCTTGTGCAGTGACAGAGGGGACCTTTTGACCTTCATGTTCTGTTGACAACTGAATGGAGAACGTCGCTCAGGAGGCCTAGATCTCCCAAGGCTGTGAAGTAGGACATCCTGACATCCTGGTGGTGGACATTGCAAGACAACCCCCCCCCCCCCCACTTCCCGCCCGCCAATCCCCAGAACAAGTAGATCCAGCGAGTGGGTGGATAAAGAAAAAATATCAGACGCTGGAAGAACTGAAGAAGGGAGCCAAGGGATGACAACACACAGTCAAGCCTTTAAAAGAGGGAGGCCAAGTTTTCTTGTCCTTTAGTTCATCCTTGTGCTGCGTGGCCGACTTATGCAAGCGACCAATTCCCAAACTTGGGCTGCAGGTTCAGCAGCCAGCACATGCACTGCAGCCTTCCCTGGCCAGAACAGAGCCAGGAGTGGTGATGGCGTCTGGCCTCGGAACGCCCCCTGCAGGCTGCTGTGCGCTCTGCACTTTCCCAGCGCCTTCTGCCTGGTTGCTCAGCACTGACAGTTCTCACTGTGCAGGTGCCACCTGGAAGGATGTGGGGAGAAAGGCACAGCAGTGAGGGGCAGTGACTCTGGGCTCTAACCTGCCTCTTACATTCCTGCTGTCAGCTGAGGTGCCTGTGCCTCGGCCTCTCCGAACCCACCTGGCAGGTGCTGGTTCCACCTGCTTGCTGGGCTCCATGCACTGCCTCTTTGCAGGTTCTTCATGGGCCTGGGCACTCCAGGCTGAGGATGTCAGACACCTCCACTGACCATGTCTTACTCACACACCCCGATTGGGGCCTTCCCTCTTAGGAAGACCCCATTGAACGTGTGATCCTAACTCACGGGTGGTGGCGTAGGCAACTCCAAGCGCCAACATGTGGAGCCATGGAGCCAGAAGCCCTCTATGACTTCCTTAGCTTGTCCATGCTTCTGCGGGGCTGTTCTAAGACTTGCTCTAAATGTGTGTGACTGTCTGCCTGAACTGCTTGCGAGGGGCACCAGTTCCCGAGCCCCTGTGCTGCATCCGGGGGTGGGGGGACAGCGTGAGTGGTGGGTTCTTCTTGGCTTCCTGGATGCCCGACACTCAATGGAGGAAAGCCATGGGCGGCACGTTAAGGATCGATACTAAAACCCAGACTCCAGTGAGTCGTCTTGTCCACTCCAGGCCCTGTCCTGGGAGGGGGAGGTCTCCCCGCGCCCCTACTGCCTGTGAGCTCTGGCTGTCAGAGGGGAGCAGCAGTCAGCAGCCGTGAGGAAACTGTAGCCTGTTGCTATCCCACCCCGGTGGCTTCCTCTTGGCTATCGATGTGGCCCATGTTTGATACCTGGTCCAAGCAGGGGCTGGCACGACTGCTGTCCTTCCTTTCATGTCCTCAGACCCTTGTCAGCGTGGGCCAGATCTGCACCCTGCTTCTGCCTCCTTGCTCTCGCAGTGGCCTGCGTCCCAAGTGCACCGACTAGGGGAGAAAGACCCTGTAGGGGAGGCAGACCGTGTGCCACCTTTGAGAGCCTCCCTGAGGGATGGGCTACATGGCCTTCACTTGATTTTTTTTTTTTTTTACTTGAAAGGACGAGGAGGAGGAGAAAGAGGTGGAGGAGGAGAAGGAGAGAGAGAGAGAGCGAGCGAGCGCAATCTTCTATCCATTCCCCCAAGTGGCAAGTGGCTGCAATGGCCAAGACTAAGCCAGTTGAAGCTAGCAGCCTGGAATCCCACCTGGGTCTCCCATGTGTGGGAGGCACTCAGGCCATCCTTTGCTGTTTTCTCAGATGTATCAGCAGGAGCTAGGTTGGAAGCAGAACACCCATGAATTGAACCAGCACTCCTATGGGATGCCAGCTTTGCATGTAGCAATGTAATTCACTGTGCTGCAATGCCAATCCCTAATTTATTTATGTATTTGAAAGACAGAAGTCTCTTATTCATATACACACAAACATACACTCACACACACAATATGTATGTGTACTTCCATTGGTTAGTTTGTGTCCCCAAATGCCTGTGATTGTGTGAGCTGGGGCAGACCAAAGCCAGGAAGTCTATTAGATGAGCATCAGGGACCCATGCCCCCGAGCCATCGCTGGCTGCCTCTCAGGAACGTTAGCAGGAAGATGGATCTTAGGTGGAGGTGGGACTCTGATAGGGGACGTGGGCGCCCCCAGCGGTGGCTTAAGGAGGCACCACTTCACCGGCCACCTTCACTTCTGTTGCTGCCTTGAGACCCTGTCCGTCCTTATGATTCTGGGAACTGCGTAGACCCTGTGTTCCCATGAGTTGACAGACAGCAAGAGGCTTGCACATCCTGGCAAATAGCTCTGTCAATTATATTTGTTTTCCTGCTCCATCAAATAAACCCTCGCTTAGCTGCATTCTTACCACTGGTAGAGTTGTCACTGCCATCTCTCCCGGCGTCTCACGCACCTTGCCCTGTCCATTCTTGGTGTTGTGTCAGGAGACAGAACATCCAGCAAGGGGGCCCGCCCCCATGGCACTTCCCAGCCTGGCTCTCCTGTTCCTGTCAGTTTCCATCTGGTAGCTCTGATCCTACTGAGGTTAATCCTGCCACTGCCCTGGGGAAACTGGGCCCACCCCCAGCTGTTAACCCAGCCAGGGCACAGGTGCCCGCCAGGCTCTGCACAGCTGAACTCCTGTGCACGCCACCTGCTCCTATCGTGGGCGGTGTGTTTAGCTTAAGGGGGCAAAAAGGCATGTTATATTCCTGATAGAATAGATTAAAAAAAAGCTACGGGTATCTTTTTGTTATTAGAATGTTAATGGATTTAGGCTTACAAGTGGATGTTGGTTTATACAGAATAAATAAGATTTAAAGTGCCACCTGGGAGCCAGTGGCACTCAGCTTTCTCTGCATGTGTGTTTTTGAGAGCCAGGGGTCTGCTTTTCCCTGCACGTTTTACAGACAAGGCATTTTTTTGCTGTGATCCTAGAATATCCAGGGACCTCAGAAAGTTTGTAAAAAGGGTGGAGCTACAAGATGCTTATCTTGGGAGAGAATGTAGGTATTTTCCATGAACCTTGTGAAGACTGTCTTGTGAGATTTTAATGGAGTCTTTATATCAACACAGACTGAACTGTTCCTGGTCATGTGGCAGGAAACTTTTCTGAGGTTTGCTGACAAAGTACAGGTGAACCTGAAACGCGGAGGGCCGGGGGGTTTCTTCATGTCCTCGGACCTCTGCATCTTTGGAGCAGGAGCTTACTTAGGCTGCTGCTCGCACCGGATTCAGCACAAAGTGGTACAATTTAGGGCTTGTTTGACACTCTGTCCAACACTTAGATGGCGGTGGGCGAGCGTAGTTGGGCTGTCTGCAGAATGAAGTTACTTAGCTCCTACCTTTGGTGAGTTAATTTACATAAAGCACGTAGTACAAAGCCTGGGATCTAGTAAGAGTCCTGTGCTTTTTCTTTTTAAATTTTATTTTTATATTCTTTGCATAGTTGATTAGGGCACAAAGGGTCAAGGGGCATAGGAAAGTGGATAAGACCATTGCTTCCACATTCTTTTTCTTCTGTATCTGAGGGAAGGGGGGAGATAAAGGGAGAAGCCCCACTTGGCCTCCCACCCGTTCCAGGTCCCCGACACAGGGCATTCTCAAGTGGTTTTGATAGTCCAACAGTTCTGAATTGCTGCTGATTTCGCCATTCCAAGCACGACGAAATCACTGCAGAATCCACTGGCTGACATAGTCCACCTTAGAGTGTCTGTTTGCCCAGATTTTCACTGCCAACACATGGCTGGGGTAGTTGATTGATCTGTCCTCCATCCTCTGTTGTGGTGCCAGGTGTCCTCTGCAGGTTCTGATGGACTGCCATGCCCTCCATGTGCACCTGGACATGTTGTCCACAGTTCTGTTTGAGCCTCTGAGCAGGCTTAGCTTTGACACATACATTCCATGGTCCTGTGCTTTTTAAAATTACTGTCTCCAGGGGCTGATGCTGGGGCCCAGTTGTCTGGCAGCCACATGGCACTCAGGCATGCCATATCATCACACCTATTTGAGAACCAGTTCAAGTCCCCACTGCTCTACTTCCAGTTTGATTCCCTACTCACGTGTCTGAGGAAGCAGTGAAAGATG